CGTTATTTCACTCTGTCCCTTCCCGACACGCATGACGATCCCGTGTGACCACAGATGACGTAGCTAGCTCTGCTGGGGGTGCCGAGAGGGCGCACCCCTGGTACTGCCAGTGTGCGTACCCTGTTGCTCAGCACAGAGCTTGTCCCTGAAATGGGCCCTAGGTGACTGTCGTCATTCAGCAGAGGGGCACGGGGAGCTCCTTCCATGCTATTCTTAGTCAGACCGTTAAGGTCTCTCACTGAGGCTGCGATGCCCCCACCTGAGCCCGTCATTTAAGATCTGCATCAGCACCTTGCAGTTTGCACCATGGCCTTTCTCATGTGCGGCCATGTACCCTGAAACACACTCGTCCTGCCGTAAAGAGCGCACCTGTGAAAACGAGCTGGTGCGAGCCATCGGTGTGGCCGTCAGTGGTGCCAGGCAAGCTTTTGGTGGGCTTCGAGTTGATCTGAAAAACGAAGTTTGCAGATGCAACTTTGCTCGTACTGAAGCATCGACAGCATGAGGGGGTCCTCGCGGCCACTGGCCCCGTGCCACTCCTGTGCCTGTAGCGGGAAGTGCCACACAGCCTCCCAGAGTCACCATGTCCTCTCACTGGGCTTCCCTCGGGGCCAGTCTCGGCCAGTCCCTGCACCCCTGATCTGGACACTGTTGCAGCAGGACCGAACAAAGGGGGCAGAGACCCTGCGAGGGCAGCCGGTGCCTGCTGCGCCCACCCCAACCCTAATCCTCACTTCACTTTTGGCTTTAAATACCGACAGGTCAGGTCTTCAGCTGTCCTCTCACTGGTAGCTTTCCTGCTGTGCCGTTAACATGCCACCTTCTCCTCCTTGCCCAGAGAAGCTGACCTTGTCTGTGGTGGGCAGAGAGAAGCGAGGGGCCCGGCCACATGGGCGATCCGGGTCTGCCCTGCCACGCCGGACTCATCCGTGATCCTGGCCCGCTAGGCGACTGGGGACAAGACCTGGGGCAAGGGTGCATGTGTGCATTGGTGTGTGTGCGTCCCACTCATGAAACTAAAAAAAGAAAAAAGATAACCAAGAATAATTTTTCAATATATAGAAGTTTACAGCTTACAAGTTTCTCTTACAAAAGAATAATGCCACAAAATCTCATTTAGATCATTACATATAACAGCAGAAGTAAGCTACTTCTTAAATGTTGTTTTAAACTATTTAAAACCCTGTCGTGTTGCAAATACTGTGAATCGAGTATCTTTGTTGTGTCATGGACTGTTAGTCATCAGGAGTGAGGAGATTGCAGCTATCCAGAAGCAAGACAGAGCTGACTAGATTTAACACTCTTGCCTCCTTTTAACTTCCTACTAAATGCTATGGGAAGGGTAGGTTATCTTGAAACTATTTTGAAAATCAATCCAGAAATCGACATTGAAATTGAACACCGAGTTACAGTGCCACTGTGTTTCACTCGTCGTTTTCTCTCCCTTAACACCCTCCCAGTTTCATCAGGCTGGGGAGAGATGCCTAGTGTTCACGCGAAGGCTGACCACTCTTGGGGAGAGCCCTCGTCCCCTTCCCCGCTGGTGGACAACGGTACAGCAGCATGGGGGAAGCCGCCCAGCAGTGGCAGCGGGTGGGGAGAGCAACCTGCCGCCGTGGCGTTCGGGAGGGCCGCTCCCGCCGCTGCCCCAGCCCTGTGCAAACCAGGTGAGTGAACTCGGCGTTCTGCTTGCCCCAACATGGCCATTAGAAATGTTTCACAGTAGGGCCAGCAGGTGGCGTGGTGGGTAAGGCTCTGGACTCCCATGTGGCTGACTGCCATTCAAGTCCCAGAATTCATGACTTGCTTTCACGCTTTCCCTTTCTCTCTGGTCAAATTGAAAAATAATGATAGCAAATAAAGTTGAATAAATAATTTTAAAAAGAAATGGTTCACAATATTTTGTTTAGAGGGTCTATTTTATACAGAACTTGAAAAATGAAATGTTTAGGATACTCTCCTCGTTACATTTAGACTTACCTTTAGGCCCCGCCATGGTGGCCCCTCAGGACGCCCCCGTCATTGGGTGGCTGAGCCTGTGCAAGAGGCCCAGGTTCAGGTTCCAGGCCAGACTTACACAGGCGAGGTGTGGGGGTGTGGCCTGACCAATGAGGAGGCTGGGGCAGGAGGACAGCAACGCAGGAGGCCTGTCAGGAATACCTACTTCTCTCTCTCATTAAAAAAGGGCTAATTGGGGAACCAGCAGGTGGCGTGGAGATTAAGGCGCTGGACACTCCCACATGGCCAACCATGGTTCACGAGCCAGACCTGGTGGCTTACTTTCTCACTTTCTCTTTCTTCCTCTCCCTCTCTCAGTCTCACTCTGATAAAATTAAAAAATCAAATAAATGAATAAAGTTAAATATTTCTTTTTTTAAAAGAGGCTAATTCTAACCAAGCCTATAAAGAAATATTTCTATGGTTAATATGTGAACACAAAGGAGCTTTATAGATTCCATGCTCTCTTTTTAAATAAATAAATGTAAGAATCAAAGCAAGTCATCTTACCTGTTTGATAATGTTAGCAGTATCCATACTTTTTCAGCAGTATTATTTTTCCTCCTCTTCTTCTCAAGTTTTGCTATAGGGCACATGTACTCACCGGAGAGACAGAGGGGGAGAGAGAGAAGAAGAAGAAGTGAGAAATCACCCCCCTCCCCCGGGAGAGATGGCCACACCATAATCCCTTTTCCTCTGTTCTCCTCTTGGGGTTTTAGGCACGCGTGCACACGTGCCTGGCATGTTTTTCAAGTGGCTGGGTCTGAGGCTTGAAACACGCAGTCAACCATGTGAATTCAGCTGCGTTAACCACCACACCACCTGCTGGCCCTTCAGCAGTAGTTTTTTTTTAAGAGAGAGAGAGATTTTTTGCGTGTGCTCACCAGAGAGACAGAGACAGAAAGCAAGAAATCACCCCCAGGGATGACAGCCACCTTGCAGTCTCTCTTCCTCCATTCTCCTCTTAGGATCTTATGCATGCACACACACATACCTGGCCTGAGTTTTAAGCTGCCAGGTCTGGGATTCGAACCATGGTTAACTATGTGGGAGTCCAGCAACGTACTCATGACACCATCTGCTGGTCCCTGAGAAGTATTGTTTACCTGCTACTTTATAAAATTTAAACTTCCCCTTATAAGTAAGATGGGTATCATTTTTGTATCATTTTTTTTCTTCCTGAGATTAACTTTTTTTTTTTGGAGAGGTTTTTTTTTTTTTTTTTTTGCTATAGGGCATGTGTACTCGCCAGACAGACAGATAGAGAGACAGAGAGACAGAAAACAAGAAATCACCCCCCAGGAGGGATGGCCACGCTGCAATCCCTTCTCCTCCATTCTCCTCTCGGGATCTTGGGCACACACGTGCCTGGCGTGAGTTTAAGCCACCGGGTCCGGGACTCAAACTTCAGTCGGCTACATGGGAGTCCAGCGACGTAGCCATTACACCATCTGCTGGTCCCAATCACTTTGTATTTTAAGAAAAAAAAAAAATCCTGAAGTCAAAACTCGGTCATCAGTTTGTAGCTCCATCTGCCTAAGGCCTCCACCCTCCTGCCCATGCGCATCTCCTGGGAGCTTGTGAGAAGTAGCCTGTGAGGCCGCCTGCAGGCCTGCTGCACTTCACATGTCCTCAGCTGGCGTTCCAGCTGCTTGAGCAGAGAAGCACTGGTCAGCGTGCTAGAGTGCCCAAAGGTTGGACCACGCTGTGATTTTGAGCCACACAGGGTCCACATGGTGGCTCAGCAATAGAAACACATTGCTCTGCAGCACTGACCCCATGGGAGTGTCCGCTGTGGGTCGGGTACCTTCCTGCGTACAGCAGGTGTGGGGTTAGAGCGTGGTACCAGGACCCTATTGGGGGTATGTCTCTCTGTCTCACATGGGAGATGCATAAATGAACTGTAAAATGCCAGCTGCTACCATGCTGGTTAAGGCAGCTGGATTCCATGTGGCCGACTGTGCAGTTTGAGTCCAGACCCAGCGGCTTGAAAATCACACCAGAAGTGTGTGCGTGCATGCCCCAAATCCCTAGGAGACAGGAGGAGAAGGGATTATGGTATGACCATCCCCTCGAGGTGTGATTTCTCATTCTATCCCCCTTGTGTGTGTACAAACCCTGTAGCCCCCCAAAAAACCTGAGTATATACGTTAAATATGCATGTATGTATTCAAGGGGGGGGGGACAAAGGAAGACATTGGCGTTTTTCACAACATTTTAGCCCTTTTCATTCCATGCAAAGGCCGCCGCCTTCTCCTATGGTCCCCTGCCCAGAATTTATTTTCAGAGTGTCTGTGTCGACATTATCTATACCTGGGTGAGGAACTTTGGAGCCACCACACAGGTACAGAGAGCTGGAGTTCAAAGGAAGAGGTACACACATCTATGTGTATCATGTACCTAACAGGAAAATTTAATTCTTAGGTCTAGGGGAAGGAAGTAGTAAAAAGTCTCCCTAGACTGCAGGGGCCAGACGGCGGCACAGCGTAAGACTCCACAAGGCTGGTCCACAGAGCATGGCTGCGGTTCGCTCCCAGAGACCTCGCTGAGCACACAGGGCTGACAGCGGGGCACATGTCAGGACCCTGTCGGGCCCTCTCTGTCACTCTGCCTCTTTGTCTTTCCCACTCTGAAAGAAAAGACGTAACTAAACTTACAGGGAGGGGTAAATTACAGTACACCGTTTCGTCTCACCTCCCCTCAAGGACATGATAGCGAGGTGCTGCTCCTGGAGGGACAGAGTTTGATGCGATCGTGCTCACTCTCTTTCCAGCTTCCAAATCTATGCAAGAAGGCTGGGGCAGTGGTGGGGATGAGCTGAGCCTCGGTACCAGCCAGTGGGAGGATGAAGAAGGAGACGTGTGGAATAACGCTGCTTCCCAGGAGAGCACCTCCTCCTGCAGCTCCTGGGGGAACACCTCCAAGAAAGGACTTCAGAAGGTACGCCTGGCACTCTGGGGAGTGAGCTCCGGAAGTCCGTTCCGCGAGAAAAGGCGGGCCTGAGGTTCGCAGCTAGCTGGGGTCCCTGGAGGCCCCTCCCTGCAGGCCCTGGAGACCTTTTCAGGTGTTAGGCAAGGTCATAATTCATTATTTTCATGACATTGTTAAGATTTTGTTGTTTCACGAGAGTTCTCTGCCCAGGCGGGGGTGGAATGTCTCGGTACTCAGCTCTGCAGAGAGAACCAGCTACTTCTATTAAATCAGACGTTATAGACATCGTGTGCAAAAAGGAAACAATGCCGCTCTGTTGGGAAATACTCTTTTTCATTAAAAAAATTGACAAGAAGTTAAACACACATCTACGGGTAACCATGAGGGACCAGCAGACAGCATGATGGTTACGTCACTGGACTCCCACATAGTTGACCGTGGTTTTAGTCCCGGACCAGGGGCTTAAAACTCAGTGCCAGGCGTGTATGCATGCATGCCCAAAATCCCAAGGGGTGGATGGAGGAGAAGGGATTGTGGTGTGGTCATCCCCTTGGGCATGATTTCTTGGTTTCTGTCTGTCTGTCTCTGTCTCTCTCTGGTGCAAATCTCTCCTTAAAAAAAAAAATATGCCACATGGAAAAACTAAACATCTTTTTCAAGAAAATGCTATTCATAGAGAAAGAGAAATAAGACTACCGAAGTATATTGTCAGATGGAAAGGTGGTGGGAAGAACATCTGTGTAGCTGGGCTGGCGCCCACCGGTTAGCGATGGGACCAGAATCACAGCACCGAGAGATCAGAACAGCTCGTGGTCCTGTCGAATCTGGCTCCAGCTGCACGCCCTGATGGCAGCAGCCCATCAGCCGCGTCCTTGCCGAGAGAAAGCCTGCTGGTTTTCGGAGCACAGGGCTCTGTTTCGGTTACGGAGGCTCAGTCTTGAACAGCACCGCGAGGCAAGGCGTGCTCTTAGACGGGGTCCTTTTAACATGGTATTAATGGAGCAGTGAAGCCTGTCTCGCTGTGGAAGATGGTTCCCACCTACGCCGGGACTCTTGGGCTGCCTCAGCCCTCCCCTCCCCGCCCTCCTCCCCTCCTTCCCTCTTCCTCTCCGTCGACATTCCCCAGCGCACGTTTTCTCAGTGCTGTATGCATAAGGAGTTATTAGAAGTAGCAGGTGTCCCTTACTGGAACGAACCCCGATCTTTTGTCTTTCTTACAGTAAAGCTTATTAAAGAACAACTAAAAAAATCATGTCATTTGTGTAAACTTCACTTAGGGCTGTATTTAAGGGAGGGCTCCTTTGCTCGATGGTGGATATAGCACATATTTGTGATGAAATGAATTGAAATTGAATTAATTCTCTGGGACAGAGAAATGATTGTGCTGCTTTCTCAAGGCCATAAATTATACACGTATCCCAACCTGCAAATGACTAAAGCTTTTCCACGGCCCAGCCACAGAATGCTGTCAGGGACTTTCTGGGGTGCAGTACTCTTCAGCACTAACGTGGAAAGGTTCTATGACTTTTGGTCTCCACTGGCTCAGGCCGCCTCCCACCTCAGGAAGAAACGGGCTGAATCCTAATTCACGGCCCTCCCTGTGCTCTCTGTTCCAGGGCCTGAAGACATCCGGCAAGCAGGACGAGGCCTGGGTCATGAGCCGGCTGGTCAGACAGCTCACCGACATGGGCTTCCCGGTGATTGCACCTTCCCTCCTATGCCCGCCGCGGTCCTGGGGGACACCCTGATGGTTTCCCACCTGTGTCTGCTACACACGACAGCAGGCAGGGGACCATCTGAGGGAGGAGACCACTGACTGCTAACCTCTCAAACTCCCCTTTCACCCGGACAGTTGGGGTTAGGGACTGTTGCTTTGAAGTACAGCAGACACCCATAATTCCCACCAAGAAAGGTCTGAGAGCCTCGTCCTAGAGTACAGCGTGCCGTGCCGTTTCCCGTGTTCTTTGGCTGTACAGTTTTGTACTTCCTGTCCACTGTAATTAAAAGGGAAGTTCAGCCCAGCCAGTGACACGGCGGTTAAGGCGGCTGGATCCCACATGGCTGACTGCACGGTCAGAGTCTCGACCCAGCAGCTTGAAACACACTGGGCTGGTGCACATGTGTGACCAAAAGGTGAAGAGGAAAGTGGAGAAGGGATTGTGGCGTGGCCATCCCCCAGGGTGGGTGCTCCCACTTTCCATCTTTACCTGTCTCTCTCCAGTGAGCACACATGCCCTCTAGCAATTTTTTTTTTTCTTTAAAAGGAAATGCATCAGTTTTGGCAGTAGATTGACAGGGATAACGAGGAAAGTTGGTGTAAAGTACTGGGACTTCCTATCCAGGAGATGTGTCCTCCCCAAACCTGTTCAGTTCTGGAGTTTCTGATCGTGTGTAAGGGGAATTCGGATCGCAGGAAGTTGTCCTGGAATCATACCGGTCTGTTCACTTCCGGACAGCAGATGACAGTTCAGAGAGTGAGGGGTGGCACCCTTCTGCCATATATTCCCTGCACATGTCTGACTTCCAAATCCTTATTCAAATGGGCACTTCTCTTTCTGTTGCTGTGTGTGTCCCTAAGAGTAAATCCAGAGTGGCCTCCGTGTAGAGGAGAGGCCTACAGACCTGGCCCTCTGCACAGGGCAGGGCACTGCCGTCATGGCCTGCCTCTCCCTGGCTGGGGTGAGGGAAGGGTGACTGGGGCCTGCCAGGAGTTGAGTGAGAGCATCATGGCGGCTTCAGCACCCACTGTGCGGGGTCTGCTCCCACCTCGGGGGGTTCTCACAATGGGCTGCAGCTTTGTTGTTTCACTCTCCTTGGTGAAGAGCTGTGGGTAGGGAGCCGGAGTTCATGAAGTAGAGAATGAAGCTCTCCGCTCCGGCCTGGTGGTGGCCCTGGATGTCGCTGGCACTGGAGAGGCAGACGCAGGAGTGGCCATGTGAGGTCTGGCATCTTGACGCGTGGAGCCTGTGGCTCAGCCCCGCATTGCACTTCTGGCCTGCACGCAGGGTCTCCCTGCCAGACATCGTGCCCCAGGGTGGAAAGAAGACATTATAGGGGGACTTGGAAGGTTTTATTGGCTCTCAACACTTTGTTTCTAAAATGTCCTAAAGAAGCTTTTTGCTCTATAGATCGATTCACTACATTTTCTTAGGTTTTTTTTTTTTTTTTTTTTTTTTTTTTTTAAGACATTCATTCTCATCTTAACAGTGGGTAAAAAGTATTTCCAGAGCCACACCCTGATCACCGACACTCTTAGCCGGTGGTGGTGGCTCTGAGCTGGCGGTGGTGACGTGAGTTCTTTGTGGTTAATGCGCACTCCTAATGCAAATGTATCCCGCAGAGAGAGCCAGCTGAAGAGGCCTTGAAGAGTAACAACATGAACCTGGACCAGGCCATGAGTAAGTGCGCTTGGTACTGAAAGCACCCCTGGCAGACTGTCTGTGAGGGTCACTTCCCAGAAGCATTCAGGGGCAGCCCTGGCAGCTGCGGCGAAGCAGCAGCCCCTCACACGGTCTCCTAGGACTCTGGGACTTCAGAGACCGGTGACCAGCCTCATGTTAGAAGCCTTTTTTCCTTTTTCTCGTCTGTCCCCAGTACTTTGACAAACACATGGCTTTGAGGGGAGACCCAGTGACAGTCTCGGGAGACGCCAGGCCCATGCAGCCTGCTTGCTGGCAGCCGAGCTTGTTCTGTGTCCTCCCAGAGTGACGCTGCCGTGCTGGCTGTGCTGCGCTGGGCAGAGATGCGACTCCCCATCGAGGGACACAGCCCTCGTTCTAGAGCTGCTGTGACAGCGCTTTACGGGTGAGCTGGCCCTGGATGTGGGCCTGTCATTTCCACCACTAGGAGGCAAAGGCGGGAGAGTTGTGAATTGAGGCCAACCTGGACCACCTAGCAAGATGCTGTCTCTCAAAAGCGTATCTATTTAGGGGGTCATCAGAAAAGGCAGCATATTTTTCTATGTTTTTCTATGCAAAAAATGCATTGTGAGGTTTCCAGCAACGCAGTACATATGAAATACAGCCCGTTCCATTGTTCTCCAGTTAGGCTCCAGAAAGTCACTGCAACAGAATTACCAACTCCCCGCCCAGTGCTCCCAGGGCACAGGGGTGGCTTCTGCAGACCCCCAGCCCCAGCATTTGTGGGCTAGTGCTCCAGGTTAAGGCACCTTATTTCACACGTATTTCTCACAGGCAGTTGTGTGCCGTGTAGCCTCATGGTAGTGAGCAGAAGGGTTTGACATGGTCCTGACTCTGGGTACTGTGCCCGTAAGTTCCTCTGCTACCAGACCTGTAATAGCGCCTGCATGCTCTTCACTGGTCTCCAGCCCCTGAGTCCACACACTCAGCCACCTTCCACCTCTCCTGCAGCCGTCGCATTCTGCAGGTGTTGCTGGACTTGGGGCACAGCCTCCTGTCCCGCTCAGGAAGCGTCTCTTCCTCTTCCGCCTGTCCCAGTTTCAGCACTGAGCTCGGAACCAGCAGTGCTGACTCAGACCTAGGCAGAACCTCCCTGACAGTGTTTCTCTGCCTGGGAGCACTAGGTAGCCCGGTAGCGCTGTGCTGGGGCCATTTTAGACACCAGAATCGCCCAACAGTTTGAGTAGCGTGGCACTAATGGTCCACAAGAGGACATGGTGTGCAACGTGAGACCGGGAACCAGACAGGGCGTCACCTTGCTTGACCTGAGCAGGGCGCGTGAGTGCGGGGCAGCTCAGATTAGCCGCTGCATGTGTGCACATTGGCCGCAAAAGTGCAGCAAGAGTGCAGGACCCAAAACGAGGACAGTCTGTGTGAGCATGTGCAAGAGCCAGAGCATAGGCACTGGCCACTCGGGCAGGAAAGGGCAGTGTGAGTGGGAAGAAGTGAGTTCTAAATTCCAGGATTACGAAATCATGCCTAGTTAAAGGAGTCTGAACAAATACTTGTCACTAGGTTGAAATGCCCGCTGGGACAGACAACCTGTCTGTTTCCACAGTTATATCCCCAATGGCGGGAAGAGTCCTTGCAAATAGCAGCTCCTGACAGATGGAAAGTGACAGCCATGCAGCAGGAGGGGGGCTTTCAGACAAGAGCAGTCAGGGACGGCCCCTCTGAGAAGGTGACCCGTTGAACCTGCACAATGTGAGGAACTTACGTTCCAAGCAAGGAACTTGGAGGGCAACCCAGCTCCTCAGGGGCCGGCAGTGGCAGGCTGGCTGGAGTGGAGAGGAGCAGGGCCAGGGGGCGGGCAGGCCGGATCACACATGTGTGGAGCAAGAGAGGGGCCCTGGGGTGAGCGAGCGATCGGGTCCGGCCACAGCACAACCGAGTGTTCTTTGATCCCAGGCTCCCCATGTTTTGGTGGCAGGGTGGGGTGTCTTCCCCCTCCCAGAGGCTTCGGTGTTTGGGATCTTGTGCTCCAGACTTGCCTGGTGCTCGCGAGCTCACTTGGTTCTCATGTGACTTCTGTGTGGTGCTCCAGGCGCTCTGCTGGAAAAGAAGGTGGACGTGGACAAGCGTGGGCTGGGAGTGGCTGACTACAATGGAATGGTCACCAAGCCCCTTGGCTGCCGCCCACCCATCTCCAAAGAGTCTTCCATGGACCGCCCCGCCTTTCTTGACAAGGTATGGATGTGTGTGGTCTTCTGAACAAGGAGTGCTTTTCATTTGAGCTTGATGTAAGTCAGAGTAAAACCTTGCTGGCTTGTATGTTAAAGTGACTTTCTCATCTTTTTTCTAATATGTGTGAATGTTTTAACTCGAAGGAGGTAACGTTTCATACGATGTTACTAGGAATGAAGCATGCTGGCATTGAAGCAGGTTTTCATTTTTACTGTGTGAGGTTGACTGGTTATGTGCTTTGACTTGTCTAATAAACAAGGATCACCTAACTTCTATTTCCTATTTAAAGACACAGTTCTTCCATCTGGAAATGATGTGTCACATGTTTTATTTTTTTTTAAAGAATTATTTTATTTAACTTTTTTTATTTATTATTAATATCATTATTATTTTTCAGTTTGATCAGAGAGAGAGAGGAAGTGAGAAAGCAAGCCACCAGGTCCGAGACTTGAACCGTGGTCGGCCATGTGGGAGTCCAGCGCCTTTAACCACCATGCCACTTGCTGGCCCTGATGTGTCACATGTTTAATCTTAGAAGAGGTTCGAAGGGGTGAGCTGGGTCGCCCTGGCCAGCCCTCGCCGTCAGCCATGGCAGTAACCCCTGCAGGCTCCCGTGGGAACCCCCTGGGTGTCTGACCAGTCCACTCATGGCCCGGGCAGTGCTGTGCCTCAGCGTCCCCGCTCCAGATCAGTGCAGTTACCAAGGAGGGAAGCACCTCATTCAGTGCATTCCAAATGTTGAACCTCAAATAAAATTGAGGGCCAGCCGGGGCGTGGTGTTGAAGGCGGTGGATCCCACACACTGGCTGCATGGTTCAGGTCTCAGACCGGCTAGCTTGAGAAGCACTGGGGTGCTGGCTGTGCGTGCTCGCCCAGAAGCCTGCAAGGACGGGGTGAAGTAGGAAGAGGGACCGTGCTGTGACCGTCCCCCACGGGGAGGTGTTCTTTACTTTCCCTCTCCGGCAAGTACATAGGCCTCTGGCAAATTTGAAAAAATAAGAAAAAATTGAAAAAAAACAAAAGGCAAGTGTAAAAACAAACACATAGGAAAGCTCACAGGAGAAGCGTCTTTCATGACGGAGCTGCATCTGTCTCCCGTGTGCTCGACCTGAGGAGCTGTGGCCGATGAGGTCCCGGAGCGAGGCTCCAGGCTTCCACCTTCCCTTGCAGTATGGGTAGGTTCAAGGACAGGTGGAACTGGGATTTCAGCTAAACGACGGCTAATTCTTGGAACATACTTTACTAAAAATCGTTCATCTGGAATTGTCGTTGCCCTCAGCATCTTATTTATGTATTTGCTGAATCTGACAGCCCTGAGTGTGGCGTCTCGGAAATGTGGAATAATACTGCAGGCTGGTTTTAGATATTAGAAATGGGATACATTTGGAAAGGGCCTGGCGTGCAGTGTGAGCTCAACAGATGTAAATAATAGTAATAATAGGGACCAGCAGTTGGCATAATGGCTATGTCACTGGACTCCCATGTAGTAGACTGCAGTTTGAGTCCCGGACCCGGTGGCTTCAACTCACTCAAGGCATGTGTATGTGTGTGCCCAAGATCCCGAGAGAATGAAGGAGAAGGGATTGCAGGGTGACCATCCCCCCTGGGGGTGATTTCTCTCTTTCTGTCTCTTCTTTCTGGCGAGCGCACGTGCCCTATAGCAAAAACCTCTCACCAAAAAAAAAAAAAAAGGAATAATAATAGGATACCATCTGTTTGGGTTAAGCCCTACAAAATTACTATGTATACAAGCGAAAAACAGTTCAACGTCAGCAGGACCGTAGTAAACTGTGAATGGATCTTGTGTGTAACGTCTCCGAAAGAATTTGCTTGCTCGAAAATGGTTGTAAAGACTTGTCCACATGAGACCTTTGCTATGATTTGACCCTTTCTCTGCACTCCCACCCCAAGGTGGGGACAGTGTGTGAGAGTCCTAGAAGCTGCTGTATGCATTGGTGAGATTGTTTTTGAAATGAAGACAGCATCTTCATCTGTTTTTCTCTTCCTCTTCCTCGTACCTGTGTCCACACTTTCTGATCTTCCCGCTCTTTGTGCATCCAGCCCCTTTGTGTTTTCTTGGGGAACCGTGCGGTGCTTTGTCTGCTGGTGGACACAGCTCGCAGCTCTCCCTCTCTTTCTCCCATCAGGATGGCGGCCTTGTGGAGGAGCCCACGACCTCACCGTTTTTGCCTTCCCCAAGCCTGAAGCTCCCCCTCTCCAACAGTGCACTCCCCGGTCAGGCCCTGGGCGGGATCGCCTCAGGGCTGGGCATGCAGAACTTGAACTCCTCTAGACAGGTGAGGCCAGGGCAGGAGGGAACCTGCCTCTTCACAGTGCACCAAGACAGGCAGGAGGCGTTTCAGCTCACTCCTCTGTTTTAAAATGCACTCAAGTGTGTGAAGGTAGGGGAAACACGCTGAGGACTTCACTCAGGTGATTCCCTGGAGCCAGGCATTGAAGATCGGTTCTTGAAATGGGGCCGTGAGAGAGGAGACGCACCGAAGTTGTGTTGTACAGTGAGCTGGGGCGTGCCCGGTGTCCAGCACCCTGGCACTGACGCACTGCTGGTGTAGACAGGAGCCCTGCAGGCTGGTTGCCAGGTGCCAGCCCCGCCCGAAGATCTGGGTGCTGCCTGTCTTCTCCCACTCGGCACTCAGACCTTAAGTACATACAGTTCTGCAAGAAGGCACCGTGCTCCCCTTTTTTCCAGTCAGGAAGATGACTCTCATGGGAGGTGGTTTTCAGAGTCAGACTGGCATTGTCCCCACCTGTGCCACTTCCAGGGAAGGAAGGACCTGGCGTTTGGTCATGTGCTGCTTCGCCCCGCATCCCTTCCCCAGGGTCCCTCACGACGTGATTATAGGCACTCGGTGTTTTCCCTCCCATGGAGCACCTGCTCACGCCGGGTTTCCCAGGGTGAGGCTGACGCACATGCACCTTTGAGGTTTCTCTTTTAATAGACACCATGATGCGTGGGGAGGCCGAGCAGTCCCACAGGTACCTTCCGTGCCGGCGACATCATCAGACAGTGCGCCTTCACCACGGCACCCAGTCGGTGTGCTCTTCCCTTGCTGGCGCTGGTGTGGTTTAGTGGGGAATTTGCATCCCCACAGGGCCTGGCACATCCTCTCAGTGCCCTTCAGAAAGCTCTCCCAAGAGAGTTGTGGGTTATCTTTTCTCCCCCGTTAGCTCATCCCAGGGTGGAATGCAGCTGAAGGAACACCTACTCCATCAAGCCCAAGTAGTTCCCAAGTTTGCCTGTGGACTGTTTGAGGGTCTGTAATGAGAGCTGCTTCCTGTTTCAGAGTTTGCTCTTTTCTCAGGTTACCAGTTCCCACATGTGTTTACTCTGCAGCTTCAACAGGTCGAGAACGTGGTTACCCAGACTGCCGTGCTGTGTCGCTGTGCTTGAAACACTGCATTGTAGTTTATTGAAAGGCAGTGGCCTTGTCTGGGGATACTTTAAAACTGGCACTGTTGTGTGGCTTCTGTGGTCCAAAGACCAGGCCAGCCTCCTGGGCTGGCTCCCTGTCACTGTAATCAGCGTGCCTAGCACTCACTGAAAGGCCACTTGGGTACAAGTTGGCAGCCGTAGGAAGTAGAAGCAACTCTGTCCTGTTTAGGAAACGACCCCCCACATCGCACCCCACCCCGTTTCTCAGCTCCTCCTTTGTAACGAGTCCCGTCTGGTCTCCCTGCAGATACCGAGTGGCAGTCTGGGCATGTTTGGCAATAGCGGAGCAGCACAAGCCAGGACCATGCAGCAGCCGCCGCAGCCACCAGTGCAGCCTCTTCACTCCTCCCAGCCCAGTCTCCGTGCTCAAGTGCCTCAGTTTCTATCCCCTCAGGTCAGAGCCGCATCCAGTCCTTGCCAGGCGAGGAGCCGTGCGTGTGGGTGCCGGGGGGTCTTGTGCTGTGTCGGAGTCCCTGTATTAAAGGGAGAGCCCCCATGAACCCTCTTCAAAAAAGGAGGCCTTCTGGGTTTCAGCCGGTGAAGTCATTCCCGCCTACAAAGCCGGGAACTGGCTCTCCAGCTCCCAGGAACATTTGCTGAGAGGCTTAGCTGCCTGGGCCAGGGTGAGACGGCCTCCCAGTCGGAGCCCGACCGAGGGACAGGACGTGGGTGCCACCGCCGGTGTGCCTACGTCTTGGCCTTTCTCGACGAACGTATCCCAGTGACACCAGCAGTTTCCCAGATGGTGGGGAGGACAGTGACAGCCAGGGTGTTGTTTAGAATGTCAGAGAAACCACTGAGGGAGAGCCAGGGGTCAGGGCACGCAGTAGTGAGGGACGAAATGCTATCGCATAATCAGGCTGTTAGTTAAACTGTTGTGTTTTGTATTAGGTCACTTTTGCCCATAGAGAGTCTTAACAAGGCAGTCATTTAGAATGAAGAAAAAGACTTTGCATAGCTGTAAGGCTATGTATGTTAATATTGTATACTTTTAGAACTTTTTAAAATTTTCTGCTTCGAAATGGTTTTTTATTAATTGCCAATGGGCACATGCACTCTTCAGAGAGAGAGAGAAACACCCCTAAAAAGACCTGGTCATGCTGCAGTCCTTCTCCTTCCTGTCAGGGTTCTGGGCACACACGCACACACACCTGGCACGGTTTCCTGGCCACCAGGGCCAGGATTTGAGCCATGGTAAGCCATGTAGGATCCAGCCTCCTATGTACAGCACTTTATTACCACGCTGCCAGGCCACTGGCCGGCCTGGCACACATTCTTAATTCCAGATTTTAATTATGGTCCGACCTCTGTAAGGGGAGCTGTAACCCGTCCCAGTGCGTGGACACGGCCTGTGTGGTCTGTAAAGGGAGCAGTAACCCATCCCGGTGTGTGGACACGACCTGTGTGGTCTGTAAGGGGAGCAGTAACCCGTCCCGGTGCGTGGACACGGCCTGTGTGACCTGTAAGGGGAGCAGTAACCCGTCCCGGTGCGTGGACACGACCTGTGTGGTCTGTAAGGGGAGCAGTAACCCGTCCCGGTGTGTGGACACGGCCTGTGTCCCTTGACGTTGATCCTGGGGCTGAAGGGAGGCGCTGCTCTGCCCTGGGAAGAGCAGAAGCAGCGGGAAGGAGGCACTGCACCCTTGCGCTCTTCTGGCCGAGAGGAGAAGCACTGCTTCTTCCCCAGGAGACCACTGCTGCCCGGAAGACCGAGATGTCCGCCTCTCCCACGAGTGAACGTGCGAGCCCGTCAGTCTTCTACCACTCAAAATTTCACTTAATTTCACTTCAGTTTGTCAGAGCATGGGGTGGCTTAGTCTTTTGGTGCTGCTGTAGCAAAGTACCTTAGACTGAGTGATTGATTAAAAATAATGAATTTAGGGCCAGCAGGTTATGTGGTGGTTAAGGGTGCTAGACACTACTACATGGCTGACCACAGTTCAAGTCCCAGACCTGGCAGCTTGCTTTCTCACTTTCTCTCTCTCTCTCTCTCTCTGTCCCTCTCTGGTATGTATAAACAAACAAACAAACAAATTAAATAGAATAATTCTTAAAAATAAATAAATAAAAATAATGAATTTATTGCTCGTGGTTCTGGAGACAGAAGGTCCAAAGTGAATGTCAGGAGACTCAGTACCTGGTGCAGGTCTTTCCTCACGGGTGGGGACTTCCTTCTGTCCTCATGTGGCAGAAGGAGCAGCAGACTCCCTTGGGCCTCCTTTGTAAGGTGGACCCGTAAAGGCAGAGCTCTCGTGACCTAGTCCTCTCCCACGGGCCCCACCTTTTGAAGCCACAGCACCGAGGATTAGGTTTCGTTATAGGAACTTGGGTGACACACAGCAGACCACAGCATTTGGGAAGATGGTGTCGTGCAGAGGAGAGAGTAGGGTATGCTGGGGGCTCGCTGGGCGTGCCGTCACTCAGTACTTGTGTGGGCCGAGGTGCATGTGCCAAGTTGAGATACTGGCATCTGGTAACGTCCTAGCCACATTAGTCAGGGTACAAGGTCAGCCTCCATCATAAAACGGCTTCGCCTACACAAGCCGGCCGCACCTTTCTCGTGACAGTACAGCATGAAGTGGCTCAGGACTGCGGGGCAGCTCTGCCGTGGGCAGTGCCCCACACAGAGGAGACCAAAGCCCAGCCCCTTGTTGAGGGTGGCCTAGGAATTGCACAGACTGCGTCCAGTTACACCCCACTGCCGAGACCTGGCGCTAGCCACACCCAGTCTTGAGAGGCCCAGGAGCAGTTAGCAAAGGAGCACGCCAGCCCCACCTGCCCATCTCACCTACACCATTAGTTAATACTTTTCTTAAAGTTGACTTTATTTAAATAAATGTATTTTTAAAGGAAGCTTTACATGTCTACCATAAAATTTTTAATTCGTATTTTTGTTTTTCTTTTACTGTTTTAAGTGCCAGAGGCATGTAGGTTCATCAGAGACAAACGGAGAGGGAACAGGAGGAAACATCCTCCAATGGGACGTGGTCGTGCCACAGCCCCTTTTCTCCACCCTGTTGGGATTTGGGGTGTGCACACAGACACCCAGACAATTTTTCAACCTGCCAGGCCCAGGAGATGAACCGTGGTCAGTCACATGGGACCTGATGCCCTTAACCACTAGGCAGTAGGGCCAGATCAGAAATTATTGGGTCATCAGAAAAATCATGATGTATTTTTTTGTGTTTTTCTAGAAAAATGAATCATGTCTTTTCTGATGACCCAGTAGTGTTTTTCTAATACATATTAGGCAACTATTAAAGTAAACGTTCCTTTTATTCCCTAAAATCATTGTGCATGCCTATAATATAAATGTACATGTCACCTTTGGAAAACATTGAAAATGCCAGTGCCCAGCCCTGGGTGGTTCAGAGCAGTGAGTTCCAGTGAGAGAGCCCGTGCAGGTGGCAGGTCAGCAGTTAGGACATGGTCTAGCAGAGGGCCACTGGCAGGGAGGCCCAGTGCAGCTGGTGAGATCCGTGTCTGCTCTGCAGCGAGGCGGGGCACCTGCGGGCCGCTCACTGGAACTCCGGTGGGGGCAGTTCCTGTGGGCAGCGGCCCCAGCTGCACCTGCCTCCTTCGGTGAGACTCAAGCCATGTGGGAATAGCTTCTTCCCCGTGGCCCTGGCTGTCTCCAGTCCTGAAAGGGCAGCAGGCCACAGGCACCTCGGGTTGTCTCCACTTAGGCAGAACATGAGTCAGTTCCTATTTGGGGTCTGGAAGGTAACTTGTGACTGAAGCATTTGCAGGAAGAACTGGCAGAAGACGCCCTTGCCCCATTCCTCCACCCTTTACTCTCCTATGTCTACTCCCTAGCACTGTTAAAACGTCCGTAGTTTTTTATTGGCCTTTGAGGTTCACCTGTGAGGCGAATATTGTCATTTAAACAGTTTTGAATCTCAAAAAATTATATAGATAAATATTTCAGTAGAGACACTGCGACTAATGGTATATTTTATTTGGACAGGTTCAAGCACAGCTTTTGCAGTTTGCAGCAAAAAACATTGGTCTCAACCCTGCACTATTAACCTCGCCAATTAATCCTCAGCATATGACGATGTTGAACCAGCTCTATCAGCTGCAGCTGGTGAGTGGACGACATCAGCGAGGAGGAGGGCTTTCCCCGCTGTCCCTGTATCCGTGTAGCCATGCCATGTGGCGCAGACATGCTGCGGGTAGAAGCAGTGTGATGATGAGACTTTGATGTGCTTTTTAAAGTACTCATGCTTTGCCTGATTTTCTGCTTCAGGATGTTTTTGCCTGTTATAAGTTGCCAGAGGTGCATGTACTTTTCACAGGTGGGGAAGGGGAAAGGTCCCCGTGTGGGGCCCGGTCATGCCTCAGTCCCTTCTCTTCCATTCTCCATCCTGCTGAGATTTGGAACACACACTGCACATGCGCCCAGTGTGTTTTATAAGCCACTGGGGCTGGAACTTAAACCACAGTCAGCCATGTGGGATCCAGATCTCTTATCACTAGCCCACGGGATGGCACCTACTTAACGAGTGTTTTTAATAAGCTTTATAAATGTGTTGGCCCCTTCGTGTTCAGATCTTATGAAAGGCAAATCTTTTCATTTGCATTATCTGCTAGGATTTCTCATCCAAACCACAGAACACAAAATACTGCATGATAGTGACCGTTTCCCAATTCCTCGAGAATGGTGCTCACAGACAGTATCTTAGAAAGGGGAGAGACGCCACTTCATTACGTATTGTCAATGCCTTTGAGCATCCAGACTTCATGCAGTGGGGACTCATAGAACTCCGGTTGAAAACAGATGATAGAGCATAATAATCCCTATAAGTCTTACAGTGTAACGTGTCTTGAATGTTTAATTTTCAAATGATCTTACTGCTTTAACCATAAAGCGCCATGTCATTGTATCCCCAGATGCATACAGAATTCATATACAGTATAGGACCAAGTGTATTTTAGCTTTACTGTGTGGGTACTCGATTCATTGAGAAGCCATATCCGGCAACTTCATCACCTAGAAGACGGCCAGGAATCACGAAGGAAACCAGAAAAGAGAAGGGCCTCCATAGCCGTGTAAACCTTCTCTCACGAGAGGCTCCTTGTGCCCTTGGTCCTCTGTTCTCCATTTTTTAGACACACTTTCAACAAGTCCCAGTGTCTGGTTTTTCGTAAGTTCCAAGGGAGGATGGCAGGATGGAGAAGGAGGATGTCCTAGAGACACGGGCTGTGAGTCCTTGCTTTAATGCAGACACAAAGCTCTGGACGTGGGTTCAGGACCCTGGCTGGAGCCTCAAAGGCTGCAGTTTTTTCTGCAGAAAGGGAGATAGTCCCCTCACATGTTGTGGTGAGGCCTCCCTGGGGGTGACACTTGTGCATGTGCGATCCTGGGCTTTCGATCCCGATGGCAACAGCAGGAGACCACTGACCTCAGAAGGAAAGGGGACAGCTCTGGAGACCAGGCATACTTTCAAACGTTTATTCGCTCAGAACCCTTACTGTAGGGA